TGTATCTGTGTATTCAAAGTGGTTGGGATAGATATATAGTTGCATTCTCTTAATGAATAGAATGATTTTTTCTAATGGTGTTTGTAAGTAGGATTACAAGTCTGCATCTTGTACAGCAATTAACCACTAAGAAGAATATATGCATTGTATTATTTGTTGAAACTGTACTTTCGATTTGATTTGAAACTGTCTCACTGCTATATGTTTATCAATAAAACTCTGAAAAGAAAAAAAAAAAGAAAAGCCCAGTAAAACCTCTTAATTTTAAAATCATGTAGTTAAGAATTAACACACTTTTAGAGCATGACTTAAATTCTTCAAGATCAACTGTTTTACAACCTTTATATTGGAAAAATTAACAGTTCTTTCAATGTTTAAATTATGGAGCATTAACTTATTGTTTGAGAGTTTTATTCTAAATAATTATAAAGTTGATTCTATAGCTAAGAAATTTTATAAAAAACATCTAGAAGACATAAAATAAGACATTTTATGCATTAATAAAGCAAAACTTCTCTTGACATTAGATTTTAAAGTAACTGAAAAATACGAAGTGAATTTGCAAAATAGTAAACTTACAATTTGTTGCCATATGAAACTGAGAAGAAAGTGCCTGAGTAACTGAATTCCAAAATATGTATAAAATGTCACGCTGCCCATCCTGTGAAACAACAAAAACATATATTAATTTATCAATGTATAAGAAATAAGATGTAATATTAACAATTTACTTAAAAGAAAAAATTCTGACACATAACAATGTGATTATTGAGTAAAAAAGTAGAAATATATATACAATTTAAATTATGGCCCATGTATAGGCGAACAGTCATTATCCTGCTCTGCTATCTTCTTGCTGCCAGGATTTTGAGCAGCTGTTTAACCGTTCTGTGCCCACACCTCATCTGTAAAATGGGGATGGCAACAATTTCTATGTTTGCTGTGAGAATGAAAGAAGTTGAAAAAAGTCTGGGGCTAGTGCCCGACATGTAACAGGCTTTCAATGAATGTTAGTGATACTATCATTATGATTTATCATTACAGAAGGCCATTTGTATGATTACAACAAAGCAATGGACAAAATACGCCTATGTCAAACAGTTGACAAGACACAAATCACCATTACAAAAGAGAAGGATTGAAGACTAGACAGAGTAAAAATATTTTACAGTGTATTATTACAGGAGACTTTCTGGGCCCTGGGGAAATAACTCAGCAGAGTAAGTGCTTGCCTGGCAAGCACAGGGTCCTGAGTTCAACACCCAGTACCACAAAAAGGAAAAAAAAAAAAAAAAGGAGCTAAAGGAGACGTTCATTTAACTTCAAACATATACTATGTGTAGTGGTCCACCCCTGTAATCCCAGAGCTTGGGAGGGTGAGGCAGGAGGTTCACTGCAATTTTGAGACCAGCCTGGACTACAAAGTGAGCTCAAGGCCAGCCTGAACTGCATAGCAAGACCTTGTCTCAAGAAGAAATAAAAAACAAAACAAAACTGTGATTTACGAAATAATCACTAAAAAGTATCATTTATCTTAAAAAGTTCTCTAACTTCATTAAACTAAACTAACGTCAGAATTTTTAATAAATATTTTAAGATGCTGGGGGGCTGGTGAGATGGCTCAGTGGTCTACAGCACCTACTTAAAACAAGTTAAGCGAAAGCACAGGGACCGCGGTTCAATCCCCCAGCACCACATGCCAGCCAGCCCCGCCCCCTGGTTGGCTGAGCTGGCCACACACACTAAATAAATAAATAAATAAATAAATAAAACAAAACAAAACAAAACAAAAATCTGTAAAAAAAAAGATGCTTCTACATGCTTGGCATTTAGATTAAACAGCTAATATTATAATATTTTTGAAATATGAAAAGAACTTCATAGAATGGGTCACAAAAACAGCATAAAGTAAGACTAACATTCAATTATTACTAGTATTATAAAAATGAAATTCTAATTTTAATGCTGTTTGTCAACAAATGACCAATGAAAAACACTAATGTGTGCTGGCCCCGCCCCTGGGGCAGGCTGAGACAGCAATTAAGACTAGGTGTGGGGGTACCATCAGCATGGTGGTGCCCGCCTATAATTCCAGCACTTGGAGGCTGAAAACAGGAGGATCATTATGAGTACAATCTGTGTAATGAGACCCTGTACTAAGTACATTAAAAAAAAACAACACGAATTTGTGATTATTATACTTGTGCATACTTCCATTCTCACTGTTGTTTCTTGCTATAGTAAGTTTTAGGCATTTGAATTTAATCATATGGGATCATAAAGATAAATAATTGCTGACTTTTTTATGCAGTGATCACAAATCATATTCCCAAGTTTTCTGTATTATGTAATCTGTGTCTTAAAAAGATGCTTTTTGTCATATTAAAGTAGTATAATATACCCCACATTAACAAAACAAAGAACAAAAGCCAAAGGGTATCTCAATTAATGTATAAAGCAGTTAACAAAATTCAGCACCCTTAAGATGGATACAATGGCACAGGCCTGTAAGCCTAGAACTCAGGAGGCTGAGGCAAATGGATAGTCCCAAATTTGAGGCCAACCTAAACTAGATAATGAGATCCTGACTCAAAAACAAACAAAATCAATACTCTTTCATGATATTAAAAATATGCAACAAACTAGGACTAGAAGAAAATTATAACAATATGGTAAAGGCCATATAAGAAGAGATCAGAGCTACGAACATCATACTAAATGGTACAAATGTGAAAGCCTTTCCTTTATGAAAGAAGTGCAGGATCCCAATTCTATTTGTATTTGACATAGTTCTAAATGTTGCACCAAAGGAAAGAAGCAAGAAAAAGAAACAAAAGGCATTCAGAATAAAAGGAAAGATGTAAAATTACATACTCAAAGGTGACATGATCTAATATACATAGAAAATTAAAGATTTCACAAAAATGTTTAAATAAAGTCAGTAAAATTAGAGTATACAATATCACAAAAAATTTACTGTATTTGTATGCACTAACAATAAACAAGCTTAAAGGAATTTTTTAAAAATCTCATACATAATGGCATTCAAAAGAATAAAGATTTTAGAAATAAACTTAACCAAGAAGGTGGACTTAACTGCATTGAAAATCATAAAAATACTGCTGGGAGAAATAAAGACAACATAAAAATAGTAAGACTTTGCCTGTCCATGGATTAGAAGATTTAAAATTGTTAAAACGCCCATACTACTGCAAGGGATCTCAATTAATGCAATCTCTATTAAACCTTGGTAGTATTTGTTTTTTGAAAAGTGGAGAAAAAAAATCTTACAACTCATATAGAATCCTAAGAAATCTAAGTATCTTTTTTGAGAAAGAAAAGATTAGAGTCCTCATGTTTCTTGACTTCAAAACATCAGTAATCAAAATATGAGACTGGCACAAATACAGACGCATGGACCTAAGGAATAGAATGGAGAATGCAAAAATGAACTCTAAAATATAGATGATAATAAAATCCAAGACTACACAATGGGGAAAGTTTAGTCTTTTCAAGTAATAGTGCTGGAAAAATTATATACATACATGCAAAAGAAGGAAGTTAAACCCTTACCTTATGTCAAATAAAAAATTAATTCCAAATGAATAAAAGATGCAAATGTAAATCTTAAAACTATAAAACTCTTAAAAGAAAACATAGGAAATGCCTTCATGAAACTGGATTTTGCAATAATCATTAATTATGAAACCAAAACAGTGGCAAGAAAAGCAAAAATACACAAATGGGACTTTCTCAAACTTGAATCATTCCTACTGAAATTAACAGGAAACAACATAGGAAATAACCAATAGAATGAAAAGGAAATCTACAAATAGGCTACAAAGCATTTGATAATCATATACATGAAAACGGTCTAATACCTGAATACATAAAGAAATCCTAGTATTCTACAACAATAGCCAAATTAAAAAGTGGGCAAAGAGGCCAGGGAGATGGCTCAGTGGAATAAGCACTTCCCTGGCAAGTGCAAGAGCCCGAGTTCAATCCCTGGTTCCACAAAAAAAAAAAAAAAAAAAAAAGAGGGTGAGGACAAAGCAAGACAGGGTGACACATGACCTGGGAAGCTGAGGCCCAGGGGATTGCAGGCCCAGTCTGGACAATTACAAACCTAAAGAGAGATGATGCCTCAAAGTAAATTTTTTAAAAAGGGTTGGGGATGTGTGAAAGCTCTGGTTCAATTCCTGCTACTATAAAATGGGGTAGGGTTAACAGATACTCTCCAAAGAAACAAATGGGTAACAAACATATGAAAAGATGCTCTGTATCACTAGTCACCCTAGAAATGCAAATCCTACTATGAAACAGAAAAAAAAAAAAGGCACAAAATAAAAAGTGTTGATAAGGATGTGGAGATATTAACTTGTGCGCTGTGGGAAACAATGTAAAATGCTTCCATTATCTAAAAAGTTGGTTCTTCAATCAAAACAGAATCATCGTAATATTTAGCAATCCCATTCTGTGTATACAGCTAAAAGCAAAATCTCAGCCAGGAATGGTAGTACACTCTTCTCTGGAAGACTATGGAAGAACAGACTCCAAGTTTGAGCATAGCTTTGGTAATTCAGCAACAATATCTAAAAATAAAAATAAAAAAGGACCAGGATGTACTTTAGCCCTGGGTTCAGTCCTCAGCACCACAAAAAGTATTGGGGATGGGGCAGGATCTCAAATAGATCTTGTTCACTGCACCATCACTCACAACAGCCAAGAGGTGGAAGGTTTTTGCAATGGCAGTATCTTAGCCAATGAGGTTTACCTGAGGGGCACTTTACTAACTGAAAAGCCAAGAGGTCAAAGCAACTTAAATATCTACTAGTGTATAAAAAAGGGGATGTACATACACAGGGAAATATTATTCAGTCTAAAAAAGAAATCTGGTCATTATGTGCTACAATATGGATGAACCCTGAAGACATAATGTTCAGGGAAATAAGTCAGTTGCCAAAAAAGACAAATACCCCCAAATTCTAATACATGGATATTTAAAGTAGTCAAGCTTTTAGATGTAGAGAGTACACTGATGGATGTCAGAGTTTGGGAAGGGACAAAAAAGTGTCTCCATATACAGAGTGTTGATTTTAAAAGATAAAAAGTTCTAGAGATTCATTATACAAAATGCATATATTTAACACTACTGCCTCATAAATACAAATGGTTAGGATGGTGAATGTATTTTTTTGTTACAGAAATATATATTAAGGCTAGTTTTTATGAATTTTTAAAATTCATAAAGGACTGGATATTAAAATTACTTTTTTTTCTTTTACGCCCATAAGACAGGCTTATGTAGAGTTCCTTACTGGCAATTTGATGGGATTTAAATGAACAGATTTCCAAATATTAAAATATCTTTATAATGCTGATATGAAACCTAACTAGACACATGACACAGATAGTTATTTTAACATGATATTAAATCAATTTGCTTTCACATCTAAAAATTTTGTGTTTGTATTGTGAAGCAAGATTAACCCTATTTTCCCTTTTGAGTGTGTATATATGTGTGCGCAAAAATATCTAGATGTCTGTTTTGGAGGCACAGTTATACATGCTTCATAAAGGGAATAAGTTCTCTTATTTAGAAAAAGGTATCTTAATATATATTTTTGGGCAATACTACAGACTTCCAATACCATTAAT